AAGAAAAAAAGAGAGTGAGAGAAAGAGAGAGAGAGAGAGAGAGAGAGAGAGATAGAGAAACATAGAGATAGAGTGTGAGAGTGAGAAAAAGATAGGAGTAGAGAGACGTTGAAATCAAACTCAGGGGAATGTAAAGATGAATCGTCTCTCGAGCAGCACCTAGCCCGAAAACGGTCGATCCTCCGAAGGGTGCGGACTTGATTCCGATGTGAGCTCGTTCCAACGCGTTCCGCGCTGATTTCCGGTGAAACAAAAAACCTCCGCTGAAGGAAGAAGGGCTGCGTCAGACGTAACGTTGCGAGAAGCAAGCCAGAGGCATACGAATCGTCTCAGCTGGTTTTCTTCGTTCAATATTCAGAAGGAATCTAAACATTTTACTACGCCGAAGATGGAGCTGTCTTGAAATTCTTGAAGTTTCACGGATGCCCGTGGAGGAGTTGAAACTGGAGCGAAATTCGGTGCTTCCGTTCTTCCGGGCAGCATCGAGAATCGTTTACATACATATCTGGCATTTAATCGTTCGCGACAGCTTCGTTGTGTTTGTTACTGATCGTTTTGAGAATTTATTGTACTTTTCCGTGTGTTTTGTGGAGATTAAGGCGGAGAGATTGAAATAATAGAGGATTGATTATGTTGTTCCTTTGAGGTCTATTTCGAGGGAAGATTGATTTTTCGCTTTTGGACAGAGGATCGTTGAAGCTTGATCTAATAGAAACGTTGAATTTGAATATAATAAACTTTTGTGGTGAACTTTACTTGTTCCCAAAAGTGGGGAGTAACGTTGAAAGTACAAACGATTTGTCTAAGTCACTTTTGGTGAGAAAAGACAATCAATTTTGTATCGCGGATCTAGAGACGCATGATAAATAACTTAATCTATTCGTCTCGTAATCAGGATGTTAACTAGAAAAGTTAAAATTTTGTATCCTTTTTCCAAAATAATGTCATATAAATATTCAGATTTGGCTCAATAAACAAATATTGATAATTAAACGCTATCGGTAACGTCCGCAGAAGACGTCAGTCACGTTGAAACACGAAAATTGCCAACGCCAATCGATCATGGGAGAAAAAATGCCGGCACGCAGCGCGTTGGACGAGACCTTAGCCACGCAACGGCGACCAGGAATCCTCATGTTAAAGTACAAATTAAGGGTGTCCGAGGTTTCAAAGGGGATGATTTAGGGGTAACGTTCGCAGGCGGTGTTCGATGCAACAGGCCACGGCAGGCGAGATCTCGAGCTGCAACTTTCAGTCTACCGAAAGGCGCTGCCGATCGTTCAGCCGTAATTCTCAATCAAAAAACACGAAGAAGAAGAAGAAGAAGAAGAAGAAGAAGAACAAGGAGAAAAGTAGAAGAAAAAGAAAAAAAACGATCGAGCGATTCCCGCGACCCGAATACCAAAGAAAAAACAAAAAAAGAAGAAGAACTTTCACTTTCGACGACTTTATTTTCATACGACACGAGAACGCTACTACAGATTATCGAAGACTGAGAACGAGCCACTGGTTTTAGTTGGTCGGGGGCCAGACAGCCTTCCGCGCTACGCGTTGGATCCAGGTGGCGCGCCATATTGTGGCGCGGGACCTAGCGACCCGCCATCTTGTCGGCACAGCTGGCAGCGCCATTCTGCGGTCCGCGCGATTGTTTCCCTATAAAGCCAATTTATGCTCGACTTTAAGCGCAGCGGATTCGATTTTGGAACGGTCATCGATAAAAATGGCAACGAGAAAACACTCGTTCACGGGAAAAACAATGAAAGGATAAAGGAACGATGTGAATCGATGGCAGACAGGAATCGTTTTTCTCGGTCACCGTTCCGGGACACCGCTGCCGGATCGTCGCGTTCCTGAGCCCTGTTCTTTCTCCGTTCTGTTTTCCTCCGCTGTTAAAGTAAATATTAGCTTAGCGATAAATGTTTGACATTGTCTCAAGCGATACCTCCTTTTTTCTGCAAATTGCTCGGAACGAAGTGGAGAGGCGAGCTCGTGGGTGCTTGAACCTTGAGTGGAGAGATTCCCGGGACCCGGCCGGGAATAATTGTTTCTCGCTCCCTCGCGCGCCCGTTCCCAGCGCCGCTGTCTCCCGGAGGACCTCGACCTTGGACTGGCGTCGCGCTCGCGCGCTTCGAATTCGAAGAATGGCCTGCCGAAGACTGATCTAGATTTTAACGTTAGATTCTCGACAGAGGTGTATCGTTTACGGTCGTTTGGTTTCTCGCTATAGTTTGCCCCTCCCCTTAGATCATAGAACGCCGGTGAAACGGACAAATTGTTTCCTCTTCTATTTGGTTTGGCCGACGAGTCTTCCCGTTGCTACCAATACGGCGTTTGAATCGTAACAAATCGAACATGGCAAACGAATGAACACGCTGAATGAAATAGTCGGATGAAACTGATGATGCTATTGTTTAGTACGGTTCAATCCTCTCCGAGATAAAATCCGGGAAGACTCTTCGGCCCGACCAACGCGTCACGAAAGAAGTCGAACGAGAAATATGTCGGTCGCGCGTACCGATGGAAAACCGAAACACAACCGAATTCCTCGCGATCGAAGGTCCCAAGTTGCCCCATTTCAAGGTCGGCGAAGGTCTCCGCGTACGAAGAAACTCGAAGACCAAGATGCAATCACCGACGACGAGCCTCTCGGTCGAACGTTCAGGCTGTCGATGATCGAGATGTCTCGAGAACGGTCGGACGCCCGCGCGCTTGCATCTTCCGGCGTGCCGCGTCGCGCCGTGCGTTTCGTTTCGTGTATTCTCGTTTCGTCGACTAGACTATAAGGTTTTACGATTAAATGATAAAACGAACGGAGGAAAAGATGAAGAAGAAAAAGAAATGAAAAAAATGCAACTCTAGGATTAACGGAACTATCGTTTAGAATAAT